GAAAAAGAAAAAAATAGAGCCCAGCATGAGGCATGCCCTTCCAGAGCATCGGTTTTGAGTTCCGGTTTCTGTTTTGCTTCTCTTTTTCTGCCTGCCCACCATGAAGGGGCTCTCTCAGCTTCACCCAACTCCCCTTCCTGCCAGTTAGGGTTAGTGTGGGATTTGTGCTTCTGTGGCCACGGGAGCAAAAGGCTGGGGCAAGTTGGCCCTGCAGGGAGTCAGTTGATGGGGTGTCTCCCCAGCCCATCCTGTGACTTGGTTCAGCCTCGGAGCTCTGTCCTCCAGGTGTGGGAACAGGGGCCTCTTCTCAGACCGGTGCTCCTGGGGCAGGTCCTGCTCCCTCTGCATCCATCTTTGTGCTCCCCACATAGAGTGCGATTCTGTCCTCTGTGTCCTCCTGCTGTGAGGTGTGCGTGCGTGCATGAGAGAGAGAGAGAGCGAGCAGAAAGACCCTCCCCATTCTCTCTTGTTCTGTGTGGCTCTTTCTTATGCCCCCTCCCCAAGCCTGTTCCCCCAAGAGGGACTTCTGGAAGACCATTCCTGGTTCTTGTCTTCATAGGCAGAGATTCTCTGTAATGACAGCTCTACTCAGAGGACTGGATTGCTGGAGGCTTAGGCATCATTATAGTTGGGGCTGCAGGCAGTGGTTTTCCCCCCCGGGGCCCATCTCCATCCTGCCCCTCTGGGGTGTGACATCAGGGTGGGAGGCTGAGGGTGAGGCGCCCTGGCCGAGAGCTTGGTTTGGCAGAGGATCTCAGGAACCAGGCAATCTCTCTGGTTTCCAGGCCTGCTCACTGGCTCTCCTGGTACCCCCGCTTCTATTCTCTCTGCCACATCCTGTCATCTTCTAGGCCCTGCCTCAGGTCTCACCTCCTTTGCGACATTCCACCTGCCATGAGTGGCCCTCCTGGGAAAGCCAAGAACATCCCCTTTACCTGATCAGTCGTCTTTCTCTCTCTTGCCATGGATCTTTCCTGCCCCTGTCTGGTGTCCCCAGGGGACCCAGGTTCTTCAAGGGCAAGCTCTGCCCAGCTCTGTTTCCCTCGGCATCTAGATTAGGGCCTTGTTCCGGTGGGACCTCAGCACTTGCCTGTGAATGAAGGCACCTCCTCGGGGGGACAGCTCCTGGGCCTGGCACACAGTGGAGGGATCAATCAGTATTTGTGGCCTAGATGAAGACGCTCTCCAGATACTGACCCTTCCTTCCTGTGCCCAGTCTGTTCAATTCCAGCAATGCTTCCTGCAGACCTAATATGTGTTGGTTGCCGTGAAGGCTACGAAAGTAGATAAGGTGTGCTTTCTGCACCAAGGGGTCTGTACCATCCCCAGTGACTCGACTCTGAGACAGAATGTAGGAGACGCAGTAACAGGGGAGGCTGGAAGAGTTCACTCTGCATGTGCTCACCCTGGAAAGATGAGCCAGGCATCCTTGCGGCCTCACGGAGGGAAACGTGTAATCTGCCTGGGAGGATGGGCCCGTCAACCTTATGGGACACGGGACCCTTGGCATCTCAGGGATGGGCTGGCCCAAGCCCCCACTTGCCCGTGTGGGATAATGATGGCAGGTGGACTCACAGGGTGGGAGGTGAATTAGGGGCTGAAGGGCCTTGTCTAGGCCTGTGGGACCGAAAAGGCACCAGGGGACAGGTTTATTGTGACGCGGGGTCTCTTCCACATGCTTATTAAAGGAGACAAGTTTCAGCTTTGCTTCTCGGTCTGCCTAGTGGGAGATTCCCACGCTCATAAATGGCATTAATAACTTTCTCCTGCCTTTTATGTTGTTGGGAGGCCTGTCATCTGCCCCATAAAAGGCAGGGGCACTTACAGGTCTCCAGCTTGAGACCTGCACGCTTCGGGCCTCTCCACCTTGCCCGCGCTGCCCTGCACGGCCAAGACATGGCGAGCCGTTCCTACCGCTTCAGCTCCGGCGTCGGGGTCAGGAACTTCAGCTCCTGCTCTGCGGTCCTGCCCAAGCCCTCAGCCCGCAGCTGCGCTGGTGCCCTGAGCTCCCGCGGGGGCACTCCTGGGGGGCCTGGCTACAGGCGCCTTGGGGGCTTCAGCAGCCAGAGCCTGTATGCCGTGGGGTCCCCACGCATGGCGGTGAGTTGTGGATGGCCCCTGCGCAGCGGGGGCAGCTTCGGCTACCGGGTAGGGGGCCTCTGCGGGCCCAGCCCGCCCTGCATCACCAGCGTGTCGGTCAACGAGAGCCTCCTCACGCCCCTCAACCTGGAGATCGACCCCAATGCGCAGTGCATGAAGCACGAGGAGAAGGAGCAGATCAAGTGCCTGAACAATAAGTTCGCTGCCTTCATCGACAAGGTGGGTCTGCGGGCTGCTCCCTGGGGCTGTGGCACAGGAACGGGCAAGCGGCTTGGAAACCAGTGACGAGCTGGGTTCACGTTCTCTGAGTCCCAGGTCTGCTACTCATCAGCACGTGGCCTTGAGAACATGACTGAATTGGGCTCTTGGTTTTCAGGTGTTACCAGCAGAATCAAATGCAATCAGTAATGGGTGTGAAGCCACCAGACAGAACAGGGCGTTGATTGCTGCTTCTTCCCTGCCCAGCAAGAGCTGAGAGCGTGTCCATGGCCCCATCTCCTGGATCTCAGCCACCACACAGTGGCAGGGACAGGGGAATGGGCATGTCTGCTAGGCTGGTGTCTGACCCCACTCCTAGAGGAGATGCCACCATCCCCAGGGTGGAGAGGGGAACCAGGATGAGGAGGGGCCAGAAGCTCCTCTCCTGCTCCTTCCGCTGGGGCAGAGTGTGAGTTCCCAGGACTTCCGCTGGGGGCGCCCTCCCCACCCAATACTGACACAGATTAAAGACAGTGACTCGAGAAACTCCAGGGGAAAGCCCAAGAGGGGCTGTTGAATTGTACTTTGCTGATGTTGCAGTCTCTGAGCCCACCTTCTGGTTGGATGCAGAGCTCTGGTTTTCTCTGACTCAGTGGTGCCCCCTGAGAGCCTCTCTGAGGGAGGACAGCCACTGAAGTCCAGGGGAGGAAAGGCTCATCTCCAGGGCAGAATGGTGTGCATATCTACACCCAGGGACTTTGGATGCACACAGGGTGACGGTGCGTGGGAGCTTTGCTCTCAGACAAATGCCACCATCAGGAATAGGCATCCCTGCAAGCGACGGTGCCATACATCTATTCTTAACATGCTGCTGGCTCTTCCCTGCCATCAGCACATCGTGCAAGCTGTTAATTTCACAAGGACATGCACCAAGTGTGTGTGGGGGGGTGTGTTTGAAATCCAGCCCATGCTCTGTTCACCCGGCTGTGCGCCCCAGCAGGAGCCTGCGTCTGCCTGGAGTGGTCCCTTTGTCTAATTTGCTCGAAAGCACAGTGAGGGCCCTGAGCGTGCAAGGACCTTTGCACGCAGCCTTCTGGGCAGCACCCAGCTATGCAGCCTCTGTTGTGAGCAGTCGCTTCCGGTCTGAGGAGAAAGACTCAGACTGCCGCCCCAGGCTGGCTTTCTCTCCCCTGGGGTGGCCGGCAGCACCCCCACCTCCTCGGAATCACACTCTGGGTGTGCAAAGTGTATTGGCCAGATGGGTTTAAGCCGGTATAGTGGGCAAGCCCAAGAGTGGGCCTGCATGGGGCCACCCAGGGCAGATGCCTTTGGTTAATTAGGGTTTGGTTTCTTTTCCCACAATGGTGGGCAATTGCGGGCTGCTTTCTACCAGGCTTGTGCTCCCAGAAGGTTAGGGCTTGGGAGGAGATCACCTAGTGCAGGGCTGACAAGGGCATGGGGCCTGGCAGGACCCGAATGAAGCCAAGCTGAGACGCATGCCTGCTGGAGGGGCAGCTGCTGTGATTCACCACCAGACCCAGGCCCGGCATTGCCTGAGCCTCTGGTTTGTCAAGGTCACGGAGATCCAGATTCTTGCCTGAAATTACTCAATTACTAAATGTTGGCAATGAATTTGATTTCTGTAAAACAATTTGCTGGCCAAATAAAACCTGCCCGCTGGGTAAAAAGAGCCTGGGGCCTGCCCGTGTACACTTGCTGAGGTTCTGCTGCTGCATCAGTTTATCGTGAGGCTCAGAGAGAAGGAGGCACTGGGGCCTGGTTAGTGGCAGGGTCAGGCAGTGGGAGGTCTCCTAACTCCCGGTTCAGGGCCCCCGAGCTGGGCTCTCATGCCCCAGGATCAGAGGGAGGGAGAGTATGGTGGGTGCATTTTTAAATCACTGCCATAAAAATGCCCAAAGCTGAGTGGCTTAAAACAACACAAATTTATTATCTCATGAGGCCAACATCAAGGTGTCCGCCTTAGGGGAGGCCTGTTTTCAGGGACATGCAGGCTTTTGGCAGAATTGAGTTCCGTGGGATTGTAGGACTGAGGTCCCTCTTCCCTTGCTGGCTTGCTGCTGGAGCTTGTTCTCAGTTTCTAGAGGCTACTGGCATTCCTAGACTCAGGCCCTTTCTCCCTCCACCTCCAAAGCCGGTGATCGTGGTAGAGACCATGTCAGGCTCTGAGTCTCTCCTCCACCTCCTCCTTCTGTGCCCCTCTCTGCTCTTCTGCCTTCCTCATCCACTTTAAAGGGCCCATTTGATCCCTTGGGGCCATCTGGATAATTCCAGATCTCCTGGTCTTCAGCACCATGAGCTAAATTCCGCCTGCACGGTCCCTTTTGCCATGTAACATAACCTATTCCCAGGTTCCAAGGATTAGGATGTGACCATCTTTTGGGGGCCACTTTTGCACCCCCCCATGGCCTGGGGTGTTTTTGTAGGATAGATGTTATTTCATTCCTGCAGAATAAACACATCACAAATAGTGTGCTCTACGGGAAGGTGGGGATAGGGTGAGGGAACACGACTGGGGGAACATTTGTGACCTGCACTTTCAGGCTTTGCCAAATGATTTGGCCTTTGGGGGGAGGTCAAGCTGCTGCAGGCCAGGGGCCCTCCCCAAGGGCAGAGAAGGCTCTGGGATCCTGTGCACCTCTCTGGGCTCCTCCTGAGTCTTTTCCCTCCCCTCTTGGCGGCAGGTGCGCTTCCTGGAGCAGCAGAACAAGCTGCTGGAGACCAAGTGGCAGTTCTACCAGAATCACAAGTGCTGTGAGAGCAACCTGGAGCCCCTGTTCGAGGGCTACATCGAGACCCTGAGGAGGGAGGCCGAGTGCGTGGAGGCCGACAGCGGGAGGCTGGCCTCGGAGCTCAACCACGTGCAGGAAGTGATGGAGGGCTACAAGAAGAAGTGAGTGTGGCCTGGCCAGGGGGTAGTTATGGGTGTGGGGCAGGTCTTGGCTGGGTCCATCCAACTCTCCAGGAGGCAGAGATCACTGAAGGTCAGGGTCATTCCAGGCTACTGCTCAGGTGGTTCTGTTTTCTCAGCCTGCTCCATCTGGTCTCGGCTCCCAGCTCTTGTGCGCCACATCCTGGGGAGATCGAGAGAGAGGAATGATGAAACAGGAGGGTAGAGATCACTGGGCTGGAGGGAAGAACTTGGGAGCAGTCAGTGCTAGGATGGGCGGAAAGGAAAGGTCCCTGGGGAGATATCTCGAAGATGATTCGGCTGATGCCATTCAAGGTATCCGATGAGTTCGGATAATTCTTTTATTTACTCTGTAGATAAATCGCCAGGCTCTTGTTCTGCAAGGCACTGCAATTCAAAGGCCCATGTAAATCTTTGGTTTTAACCTGACTTGTTTGGTTTGGCCATTACCTAGTTTAAACTCACCAGGTCACTGCTAATTTGCTCCTCTTTACCTGGTAGATATGGACAGAGAGAAGGGCGATTCTGACATAATCAGTCCTGGTAATACTAACTGGAAATAACTGGAGTTCTGATCTTGGAAGATCAGGTTTTCCCATCCAGATGGGCCCAGCGATGGGCTTACGCTTTCCTTGAGGGGATGCAAATGCCGACACAATTCTGTTTGCAGGTGGCAAGGTCTGTCTCCCAGTGTAGGAGGTGTGAGGGCCAGTAATTACACAGCTCAGGGTTTATAGCAGCCCAAATTACTCTGTCATTAAAAAGTTGTGGGAAATGTGCTGTGAGAACTCTGGTTCTCCCGCCGGATGGGCAGGGCCGCTGCAGGAATGACCTCATGCGCGGGAGTAAGAGAATGTGCAGGGTTGTTGAGGAGGGGGGTGGAAATGTTCCCCAGCAGTCTGGGCACAGTGGGGTGCTTCCAGGATGTCAAGTCCTTGGATGTTGGGGGAGGGGAAGAGAACGTCACGGGGATGGCTTCATGGAGCTTTATGTTTTGTACAATTTTCGGGTTGAAAGACCCCCCCCACCCCGCTCCGTGGAGCGTCTGTCTTTCATTCATCCCACAAATATGTCCAGAGAAACTTCCTGCACACCAGGCAATTTAACCCAAGATGCAGAGAGATTCAATGACTTGCCTGAGTTTTGCAGCAACTTTAGATCAGAAACCAGGGACTTGATCTCCATGACCAGTGTCCTTTTGGTGGGTTCTTTGGGACTGAAAAATAGAAGTCCAAAGAGGCCAAGCCTCTTCTCCCAAGGCACGCAGCAAGTGAAGGATAGAACCAAGTTGTCTTGAAAACCTAGGGCTCTCTGGCCGGTCCAAAGCCCCCTTCTCAAGGGCCTCTCCACCTGTGTGTCTCTCCTCAGGTATGAAGAGGAGGTGGCCCTCAGGACCACAGCTGAGAATGAGTTTGTGGTGCTGAAGAAGGTGAGTGACTCTTCCCACATGGAGGAATGAAATCTTGGATGCTGGGGGCCTCTGAGACTCGCCAAGATGTGTCAGTCTAGTCGTGGTGGCCAGGCACTCGAGTCCACTGACAGATGGAGGCCAGTTAGTCAGCAATGTCCCTATGAGAGTGACATTGATTTACAAGTGGCCACGGGAGTTAAGCAGGGAGTCTACAGAGAGCCAGACAGCAGCACCATGAGGTCTCACGCCTGAGAGTCAGCTACTTGGGTGGTGCCTGACCTGTGTGCCAAGGACGACCTGCTGGGGCGTGCGCTCATGGCTCTGTGGCCACCACATGGTCACGCTCCATGGGCCAGTCTGGCTCAGGGGTAGCAGTCTGCCATTTCAGGCTGTGATTTTAGGCCACCCACTTCAGAAAGATCTCCAATTCTGGAGGAATCAGAAAAAAGTCTGTAAGGGGTCAGACTTCTCTTCACTCCCTATTCCTAGGTGGTCCCACGGATGTTTCTGTCATAGAGAAGAGTGGGCCAGAACATGGCCTTGGGGCCCCCTATAGAGTGCAGAGGTCCAGGGGCACTGAGTGACCCTGTTATCCTTTCCTCGTGTGTGTTCACCAGGACATAGACTGTGCCTACCTGCGCAAGGCTGACTTGGAGGCGAATGTGGAGGCGCTGAGGGAGGAGATGGGTTTCCTGCAGGCCCTCTACGAGGAGGTGAGTTTCTTCCCATCTCCAGAAGAGCAAGTGAGGGAGGAGAGGGTGGAGGCTTTTTGGGTTGTGGCTTGTCTCGGGCCCTTGGCTCTAGAGAGGGTTGTCCATCCCTAACTCTTCTAGGACCTAAACACCTCTCCTTCTGTGACCAGAGGAGATTTTCTCTTGCTCAGGCCTCCTTGCAAAATGGAAATGGGTGATGTCCTTCCTTTAAAATGATTTGAAAGACTAGGATTCATTGCCTGTCTACACAGGACAACATGAAGTGGAGATTTGAGAATATAGGTATGGATATATAGAGATAATAATATCTTATTAATTCCGGTAGTGTGAAAACTTAATTAGAAAAGCCAGGAATCTGAATCTGTCCATTATCTTGTTGATTACATTTATACAGATAGCTAGAGCTGATCTGGATTGTTGGGGCCCCAGGTGGAGTGATCCCCTTTGTCTCTATCCCTAGAAATCTGCCTCTGTTGATCCAGGCTTTAATGGAATTCCACCTTACTCACTGCCTTGAGGCCATGGTCCAAATTCCAGCCCTTTTCTCTTAAAATTCCCCTCTGAAATTTTGCAGTTTATTTCCTGAAGCTACAGGTGGGGACTGTTTTTTACCTATAGCGATGGGAATCAGAGAGGGATTTGGAGCTGAGGGCACTGGTTGCTGTCTCCTACAGGAAATCTACCTTCTTCAGTCACAAATCTCGGACACCTCGGTGGTGGTCAAGATGGACAGTAGCCGGGAACTCAGCATGGACTCGGTTGTGGCCGAGATCAAGGCTCAGTATGACGATGTTGCCAGCCGCAGCCGGGCCGAGGCTGAGTCCTGGTACCAAACCAAGGTGAACTGGAGGGCCGGGCTGCCCATTGGGCAGGGAGCATAGCCGGAACCCGGAGCTTCCCTGGGACAGGTGCCCATGCACTGAGAGGGGCTACCGCATAGGCCCAAGCAGAGCAGGTGTAGGAAGTGGGACCGTGGCCGAAGAACAGTGGGCTGACTCTCCAGTGACAACCCAGCACCCCCTCCAACAATGTCACAACCACTGGCTGTCTCTCAATGTTGGTCCCCCAACCCACAGTGCGAGGAGATGAAAGCCACAGTGAGCCAGCAGGGTGAGGACCTCCGCAGAACCAAGGATGAGCTCAACGAGCTGAACCGCCTGATCCAGAGGCTGACGGCGGAAATGGAGAATGCCAAGCAGCAGGTCAGGGGGCGCTGAGACCTCAGCCGGTGTACCTGCTGCTTCTGATCTGCTCTCTGCTCTCCTCCTACCTGGACGGGCAGCTGCTATCTTTGGAGAGGCTTAGATTTTAACCACCTGCACCTGAAGTTTGCACAAAACATTTTAGGGGGAGGATAGGTCTGTCTACCTTCTCTGAATTCTGCTGTTATTTCCCTTCCTATCCCTTCACTGCTTCTCTCCTTCTAACATACCTTAGATAACGTGGTCTAGGGCAGGTTATGTCCTGCTGTCTCTCTCCCCGCCTCTCTGGTTGGACTTGAGGTGCACAGACCTGAACTGATCCCATGCCACTCTATTCAAAGTGCACACGACCACCGTCTGCGCATCTCTGCGATTCAGCGTGTTCTTTCCTTCATCTTTATTCCGTTCTCCTCCATCCCCAGACTCATTCTCATGCAGCTAATATACGTCCCTCTTCCATACGTATATTTACATACACACATACATACATATGTATCCTTTAAAATAAATTTATATAAACTTCTTGGTGTTTTAAATTTACATAATGACATTACGCCATAACTCTCATCTGATTCTTCCCATAGCCAGTTCAAAGTCTTTGAAATCCATGCAGGTTGCTCTAAATGATCTGTTTCATCTTTTCTATGCTATCGAATGCATTAATATTCATAAGCCAGAGTTTCCTGTCCATTCCCCTATGGATGGCCACTCCGTTTGCCTCCAAGTCTTTGCTACTACAACCAGTTGTATCATGAACATTTTTTTTTAAAGATTTTATTTATTTATTTGAGAGAGAGAGAATGAGAGAGAGCGAGTACATGAGAGGGGGGAGGGTCAGAGGGAGAAGCAGAC